TGTAGGAGAGATTGAAGTCTAAAATGATGGTCAAAAATGTATCGAGCTTCCCTTCATATTCCCGTGATGGAAATTATTAATTTATTTCCATTTTTAATTTAATTGATTTATAGTAGTATAAATACTTATACACATACAACTTCTGTATAATTGCCTCAAATATGACTTACTGCATGCCAAATATTTCCATAATAAAACATTGCTTATGCAGAATAGTTATATACCTGCCAAGATGCGATTCCTAAGGAATTGCTGCTGCAGGGGGCAGGAAGCTAGAACTCGTGGCTGGATCTGGGACTCCAATTCCCAGAATCCTCGGGAGTGTGACGTCAGTGGCACAAGTGGTTGAACGCGGAAGTAGAAACATTTGTTTACATGCAGGCAGAGGAAATCGAGTTTGTTCACGGGAATATATCGTGCAATTAAAGGCTTCAAGCGCTGATGTTTACTTCGAGAAGGTAGGACAGGGAGGCAGGTACTTTGGGAATGCCGGGGTCAGCTTGCTCTTGCCTTTTTTGGTGTTTAATTACCCGCCGACCGAGAGACTCTTAGCTGACACACAAGAAAGGGGTTGTTACCGGAGCTGGCGTAGAACTCGGGACTTCCTCTGGCCCAAAGGATATTAAAAGCTACTCCAGATGAGTACGGAAGGGACACCTGAATGTGTGTCGTGCGGGAGCTGTGGCTCGTTCCAGCGGCGTCTGAACCATGCTCTGAGCTAGCCTGTGTTTCGAATGAGGCATTTCTTACGGCTTCTTGCGTATGATGATTCGGTTCCAGAATCGGAGATTGCAATAGACATTTGCAAGGACAGCACCGGCAGGCAAGCAGCAGCAACATGAAACACAGCAGCAGCAACATGAAACACAGCAGCAGGAACATGAACGCAGCAATAGCAAGCAGCAGGCAAGCAGCAGCGAGGTAGCTGCAGCAATAGCAGCAGCAAGCAATGCATGGAGAGAGATCTGGCAGGTTAAATAGAGCGGTGTATTAAGGAGACTCTGTTTGGTTGGTTGTAGAGTGGCAAGGGGGCGTTATGTATGAATGCAGCATAAGTGCTCGAGTTGACTGCCTGAACTAGCTCGCAGGCTTCGCCCCATATATTGCCACTGTTTTTTAATACTGACACCTAACTTGCACTAAGGTGTGTCTGCTGCTGTATATATTGCCACTGTTACATTGTTTTGAAACTACTTACACTTTATTTTACATTTCACACTTTTATTTAACTTCAATTTACATGCATACGACACACCTGGAACAGCGTGATGCCGTTATTGTTATGTCTTGACTGTGCAATAAAACAAACAAACTGGCGAAGCTTTATTTATTGTGTCCCACCCCAAATTTGCTGAATAGAAGAATGTGAGAGCAGACAGGCGTCGGTGGTTGAATTTATCTACAATGTTGCAACCTTGTGCAGCAATGGCAGGGGCAGAAACACAAGTCTTACACACATAAACACAAGTCATTTATCATGTCATTTGTTTTAGATAAATAAGGGAAAAACACCAAACAAGGGTTAATGTCCTTTTCCAAAATCAGCCTGAGGGGGTAATATATAATAAATACATAAAGATCAAGTCCATTGTTATAATGGGGTATTTTATTTTTAAATTACCCTTATGAACTCCATCATGTCTGAGGTCGGAAAGTAAACAAACGCCTCATACAGCGGGTGGGCTTTATACCCCCTCCCCCCTGTAGTTCTTCTTCTCTCGGGTTTTTTTTTGTACTCGCCGTGAAGTGGTTTTGCGGCCTGCCAGTTAACCCAGAGAAGAAGAAGACGAAGTGACGTCAGCGTAATCTTGCCTCAGGGAAAGTACTGCGGTGTGAATGCGATTGGCACTAGCCCCCTGGCGGATTCAGTGCCGTGGTACTTTAGTGCCGGCACTAAAGTACGGCAAGTCCTGCGGTGTGAAAGCGGCTTATGAGTCAGGGGAGCTTGGTCCTTTGGTGTGTCCACTGTGTGCAATTACTCCAGCATTTGTCCTCATCACCTGTTGAACTGCCTCTGGAAAAGGAACACAAGTGTTTACTGTCACACTAAGTACCAGCATTGAGTCAACAGACATGAACAGGGTGTTCAAAGAGAAGGAGATATGGGGGGGTGATTGATGGATGGAGGAGATGGAGAGGAACAGAACAGCAAGTGGGTCGAAGAGAAAAAGAACAAGGGATGAGAGAGTCATTTATATAAAGGTTTTATTGCAGGTAGCCATTTCTGATTGCCTCAGCATTATGATATCCAACACTATCTTTTTTATATATTTTGTGATGTCAGCTAAAGCCTGATTTGATGTTTATTTTAACAACAATTTACAAGTGACACTGATTTATCTTGTTTTTTTTAAATGCTGGTACAGCGACCGGTCTTATCTGTTTCAGGATATTAATGCTTTTTGCGATCAAATTAGAAAAAGAGAGAAGAAAGATGTCAAAGAGATACAAGTAAAGAGCCAACGATGGTTTAGTCTGAATTTGGTTAGATTTAGGTTTAGGAGACCTATCATGCTATATTTGAATAATATATTGTAGGGCCATACCTATATAAGGTATATTTATACCTTTTCTTTTCAAAATACCAAACAGATCATGCATTTTAGCCTCATTTTGCTCTGTTTTGCTCTCCTCCACCCTGTCTTTGCATGAGCTGCAGCTGACCACGCCCCCCTGCAAAGGAGGGGACCGAGTTACGAGTGTCATGTTACCATGCTGTTACCATGCCACGGCAACCTCTCATTTCCCTGATTGGTGGAGAGTTGGCCATATACATCCTCCTCACTGACTTCAGACTGTTTTCAAATCTGTATTGGTCTGCATCAGATCCGTTAAAGCCCCGTTTTTAGAGATTTTGGGTATGGAAGAAAAGAGAGAGGGTTGTGTTTTCTGACACTTGGTGAGTTCCCTGACACACCGGGGACACATATTCATGTATAAAAGACGTACAAAGGTGCATTTTGCATGATAGGTCCCCTTTAGATTTGATATCGTTCTGTATAAAGTATATTTTTGGTGAGACTCTCCCACGCTAATGCTCCATATTTCTGTCATTTAGATGTTTGTAAGGTCAGGTTTGTACAGTTTCAAAGTGTTTGAATTTGTGTAATTTAAAACTGATGTGTTTTACTGTCTGTTACAACACAGGTCAGTTGATACCTCTAAAATTGTGCTTGTTGCCATGCCTGCTACTAACGGTTATTTTAATAATCAATCAATTGTATTGAGTCAAACACCCTGACATGCATTTGGGTGTAATCGTCATCACATCAGGGAATTATTCCTGAATAATATCCCCTGTTAGATTGGTTGGTTGGGAATAGGAATAATCTTGTCAAATATAATTAGTTTGAAATTTGATTATAAAATATACTTGACATTTTTGAAGTGACCACGTGCTGTCACTTTACCGAGCTGACTAAACACATCAAGTGGAAAACCTTGACTGTTTGTACCTACTAGCTATAACTCTAAGTAGGTTCGGTGTGGGCGCATTTTTCAGATCAGGACATGCATTCTGTCGGTTGAGACGGGCAGTTGCTGGCTAGTCACTATGGAAACACCATAGTCACTAAATGAAGCTAAAACAGCCTGTTTTGATTGAATCACACTACTGCCAAAACTCCCTACCATACAGAAATGTAGTATCTGTAGCGTTTTTCTGACCCCAAAACCATAAATGTATTTGGACTAAAGCCAATGCTCAGCACTTGAGACTCTGCCATAACCAGTTTGAGTTTTTAATGTAATATCATACCCAAATGTACCTAATACATTTTATTTCTCTTCTGATACTGAGCCCAGGGTCACATAATGTCCTGATCCAATCCGCACTGAGACTTCAGACTGGGCCAAAGTCGAGCTGTGAAAAATAAGGATTGGATGTCTTCATTTTGTTCTGGCTTTTAGGTCAGACTACATCTGTTCTGCTCATTCAGCTGAGGACGAGCTGTGTTTTGGCAGCTAGGCCTCGGTGCTTTAAAATGAAATCTCTTCTGCCTCTACACCTCTCTGCGACAAGCAACACAAGAGAGGACTGATAGCAGACAGAAGTAAGCACAGTTGTTTACACTTGACCTGCCTTTTCAGAGCATGGCGGAAAGAGATAAGCAGACACAGTCAGCTCTTTGCACCTGAGGACAAAGGAACATTCTCAAAAAAAAAAGTAAATAATGTTCCACTGAGTTTGCCCACAGAATACGTGCTCTACCTGAGACTTATATGTGTAGTTTACATTATTGGACTCTGGGACTGGAATAGATCCTTTGAAGCTACATTTTCTGCATATTATTTGATATAAAATGCAAATATTTCTGGGGCAAATCTGCTTTCAGTCTGCATTCAACACTAGTGGAAAACATCTGGATTCTAACATATCCTGTAAAAATTCCCTGGCACAGAAAATGATACACTTACCTTACTGGTTTTCGTTAGATCTTGGTTGCACGATAACGATAGAAATGAAAGAAAAGAGTATCGCCTACACAACTCAAATTTAGTCGAAGGAATCCAATGAAAATAAGATTAAAATTAAGATCACCTTTATTAATCCCCAAGCTGAAATTCTGTTCTTCATGTTGGTGTTTTTATTCAATTATACACATATGCCCAAAATACACAAACACGCACAAATAGAAACTTTAGACATGCACTAATAGAGAGATGGCAGAGCGAATGGGCTGCCAGTGTTCCAGCACCAGGGATCAGTTAGAGGTGTGATGCCTTGCTCAAGGGTACTGTGGGTACTGTGGCAGTGACCACAAGGAGAACTGGCACCTCTCGAGCTACCAGCCCACACTCTGTATTTTAGGTTGGCGACCCAATGGTTCCTAAGCCAAGTCCTGTGAGCTACTGCCGCCCCTAAAATGACAAATGTAAATAAATTGTAAAAACAATGCACAGAAATGGGTGTTTTTGAACTAAATGGCAACATAAGTGATTCAATTGGTATCCTGACAATTATATTTATATTTAATTCTTTGTCTTTCTCTCCCACACAGAGTCAGGCCATGCGTATTGTTCGGACAGTCGGCCAGGCGTTCGAGGTTTGTCATAAACTGAGTCTGCATCACACACAGCCGAACGCAGACGGACAGGAGGACTGTCACAGTGAGAAGAACGGCAACGACTCCTCCATCACAGGTACACAAACACACACAAACACACAGTCTGTATCCCACTCTCACTGGGCTGCATTGTGTTTAAATGTTAAGCACTGCCTCAAAGCCCTCCATCACTTGTTGAAAACCATGAAATGTGTTTGCCTTTAACAAAAGATGAAGCGCTTACGGCTTGTTCTTCTTACACCTTACCCCCTTACATTGACGGCTATTTCTAAAGCCTGACATTATGCATTTCGTTGTGCACAGCAACATTTCCTAACCCCTCTCTTATACAAAACAACTGGTGATTCATGCGCTTTGTGGACATGCTCAATTATTGAAAGACACACGGTGTAGAGAGCTGATGGCAGTGATAAACACCTGGCTTATTATCTGACATCTCATATTTGACATGTCATTGAACTTCTTTCCTAGAGTCACCACAATGATAATCACAGCAATTGTTTTGTTAAATGATGTTATCGTTACAGATACTGTAGAACTGTAAAAAAAAAAAGTTGTATTAAACTGTAGTAAACCTTTTAAGGAATTGAAAAGGGACCTATTATGCTTTTTGGGTTTTCCCTTTCCTGCAATGTGTTAAATAGGTTTTTGTGCATGTAAGTGGTCTGCAAAGGCTAAAATCCCAAAGATCCCTCCAGAGGGAGTTTCTCTCCCACACACTACCCCCCCCCCCCCCCCCCTACCTGAAACACCTCCATTGGACTCCTTTGTTTACTTCTGTCACACAATGCAACACCTGCATTTCTATTGGCTGGCATTCCAACACACTGTACGTGATAAGGGGCAAGACATCTCTAAGCAGTAGACCAATCAAATACAGACGGCCAGCTAACCAATCAGAGCAGACTGGGCTCTGGTTTCAGACAGGGTGAAAAGAGGCAGTATGAGAAAAATAAGGACCGTTTTGAACATTAAAGCATGGAGACATCAGAATCAGAATACCTTTAATAGTCCCATCCATCCATCCATCTTCTCCCGCTTATCCGTGGTCGGGTCGAGGAGGTAGCAGTTCCAGCAGAGAGTCCCAAACTTTCCTTTCCCTGGCGACATCAACCAGCTCTGATTGGGGGATCCCAAGGCGCTCCCAGGTCAGCGAAGAGATATAATCCCTCCACCTGGTCCTAGGTCTACACCTTGGTCTCTTCCCAGCTGGACGTGCCTGGAACACCTCCCTAGGGAGGCGCCCAGGTGGCATTCTAACTAGGTGCCCGAACCACCTCAACTGGCTCCTTTCGACGCGAAGGAGGAGCGGCTCAACTCCGAGTCCCTCCCGGATGAATGGACTTCTCATCTTATCGCTAAGGGAGACACCAGCCACCCTACGGAGAAAACCCATCTCGGCCGCTTGTATCCGCGATATCGTTCTTTCGGTCATGACCCATCCTTCATGACCATAGGTGAGGGTAGGAACGAAAATGGCCCGGTAGACAGAGAGCTTTGCCTTCTGGCTCAGCTCCCTTTTCGTCACAACGGTGCGGTAAAGCGACTGCAGTACCGCTCCCGCTGCTCCGATTCTCCGGTCCATCTCACGCTCCATTGTTCCCTCACTCGAGAACAAGACCCCGAGATACTTGAACTCCTTCACTTGGGGTAAGGACTCATTCCCTACTTGGAGTGGACAGTCCATCGGTTTCCTGCTGAGAACCATGGCCTCAGATTTGGAGGTGCTGATCCTCATTCCAGCCGCTTCACACTCGGTTGCGAACCGATCCAGTGAGTGCTGAAGGTCGCAGACCGATAAAGCCATTAGAACCACATCATCTGCAAAAAGCAGACAGCTTAATGTTACATATGTTAAATGTGACAGTAGAGGCACACAATACAAATATGACGCTGAACATGAGCATTATAGGAGCCACTTTAGGTGATGGTCGTAGGTTTTGTGTTCAGACAGAGAGGAGGTTGGAGTTCCAGAAGGAGTTGGGTTTTCATATTTTGGCAACTGAGTCATGGATTCTAATTTCACATAATCTTCTTTTATTTTGAAAATCCAAAACCACTTTATGTGTCTCCACTTGAAAGTGCCCTATCCTACCTGACTTATATAATATTATTCATCGTTAATAATTGTTAATAACTAGACCTGCTCATGCTAGAACCCCATCTTTTTGTGGCCCCACTTTGAGGCATACTACGAAATTGATTTAAAGTGAGAATGCAAAAGCTAAAGTGTGGACAGAACATTCCCCAGTGCACACACAACTTTACACTTTTCACATATTTCTTCAGATTGTCTCGTAGACGCGCTCCACACACAGTTGTGCTTAATTCCGCCTGCCTTGTGCCCAAGTTGGCCAGCAGGAGAGCGCGGTGCTGGAGTGAATGCTACGGATGAGTCAACTCAAAGAAAGAAGACCACTGGGCTTAGCTGCTATTATCCTCTGCCTCGTGCCTGGACAGGGTGGGCTTCACTGCATCCCAGGGACACGTGGCTCTGTGAGTTCAGCCATTGGAAGATCCCATATTAAGAGCTGTTCCATACCCTCGTTCCAGTCTTTACTGCAGCCAGCGTCAGATACCCTCCCCAACCAGATCTAATAGTGCTATACTAGGATACCTCCAGAGAGGAGCTCTCTTTCACATGCTGATGAGCCTAAAGATCAGCCACTCACTATAACTGTATGTCCACACATAATATAACTGGACCCCACTTTCATACAATCCCAGCCCTACACACACACTTGCTGTCACGGTGTGTTAAGCCACACGAGAGCCGTCAGGCAAAGCCAATGAGCTTTTCTGGAGAACTAATTATCATGAGGAGGGAATTTAAATGTAGGAAATAGAGGAATTAGAGAGATGGAAAATGGAAGAATGCATGAGAAAGAAGAGATGGATAATAAGGGATAAAGGGACTTCAGATCATGGAAGTTGAGACAGAGCAAGGAAAGATGAAATGTTGAAATTAATTGGAGGGAAAAAGATGAGATGGATTGAGCAGGAATGGAAGCGAGCAGAAATGAGAGAGAAAGTGATGTTTTGTTCATAAAGAAAGAATGCCGCAACGCCAATGAGCAATTCGATCTTTTTAACAAACTACTGTAATATATGTGTAAAAATGGCTTACATCACTGAAGCTGATACTCATAATAATGGCAAACTGTGGAACTGTTATACCAGCATTACAGTCAAAATTAATATTGGACATAACGGTGCCATGGGCGTGTGGTTCCATTCAGCCGCTCAGTGATCACTAAGTGCTGAACACTGAATTAAAGCCTATGGGAAGCATGAAGGAGAAGCAATATTGAGAATTTTAATTCAAAAACATTACTGAACAAAAAATGTTTATATGGCCAGTTTATTAACATGCATATGGTTAGATGTTGTTTATACACGTTGCAAAGTCACCAAAAACATGTACCATAGGTTTCATATTAGCATAAAAGTAACTATATAATATTGCAGATATCAGTTATTCTAACATTATAATCTTGACTTTTGTAGCATGTAAGTACACATGTTCTCTTCCTATGTTGGTTGTTTATCTCCACTCGACAAATTATATACCAATCAAAGGTGATGCACCAGAAACAAGAGAATTGACAATATACTGTATGCGACACATAACCTATTAATGAAAGCCTGACGTCAAAAACACTTTATAGCATTCACGATAGCGCCAGAGCCCAAAACATAAGAAAACAAAGCTTGAAATTGTGAAACAAATTGTATTCATAAAAGCTTAAAGTAAGTGTGATACTGCCATGTAGCAAAACAGATCACTCCACAAAGGAACTGGGTCATTATCTTTGGGCTGTTCCATTAAAAACAACTTTAACCTGAGAATACAAGTGAGAAGAAAAGGAAGACAACAGGGGGAAAACATGTCAGCAGCAGAGGACGGGAGGAAGGGCAACGCTGCAAAGCCCTGATAGCCGGGGTAGAAAGGATGGGGAAGAGGAATGCTAATGGTGAAATAGCTACGGGTAGTGCTAGTTTGTCAAGCATGACATTTAAGTGGAGGTGGGAGGAGAGCCCTAATAGCAGGGTGCACAGGAGGAAGAAGGGGGAGTTTAAATGGAAGAAGAGATGGGTGAACACGAACGTGGACATGGGATAGACAGTTGAAGTGAACAGTTGAAGGCCAGGAGCATTGAAGCGGCATTTAGGAGGAAAGACATCAAAGCAAAGAGTGAAGGTGTAGGAAACCAGCGGATACAGACTGTACTGTGAAAACGTGATCAGATCTGGACTGAGTCGACCTCCAATAAAGCTTAGTCAAATGTGCGGCCGAACAAAATAAACAGACATGTCGCAGTTGAAATACTTGACCTAATTTTCTGTTCCTTTTATTATGAGGTGCTACTGGGAGTTATAGTTGAAGAGATGACTCCGAATACAGTCTATGGATTGTATATGAAAATAACAATGACAATCCAACATGGAATAATGTTACATCTAAAACATTACTCCCAGTGTAGATGCTGCATACAGGAGTTGGGCAAATGGACAAACCGTTGTTTAAAAAAATTATTGTTCAAGATTTAACTCCCGTTGGTAAATGGTTGCCTTTACGTTTTTGATGTTTATTGATACAATAATTTGCTAGCTTTAGAGGACTGACCAAACAGTTTTCATGTCATCATACCAGCAAGACTTGTGGCCAAAGGCATATGATGCCAGGTTGTATGTATGTCTGAATTATTGTAAAGTGATATATCAGTGGAGGACATTGCACCTGGAGGATAAACTGATTATATTTACTTCAAAGGTCAAGGCCACCTTCACCTCAAATACATCCCATTCTATTGATACAAATATATCAGGAATGCCTTGAGGAAGTTTTTGAAATCCCTGCAAAATAAACTTGGACTCAAATACTGTTTGAACTGACAGGAATCTGGTGGTTGAAGGTCAGTGTGGCCTTACAAAACACGTTTTTGGCCAAACCTCAAGAATCCCTGGACCAATCATGAGGATTCACACATAACATGATGTAGTGAAGCAAATAAAAGATTAATTCACTCGGCACTTGTTTGTTTTTGCTATCAGTGTGTGTCCCCTAGTGCTTTGATATTGTGTGTTACAGGAACTGTGTCTACTGTTCTGATGACTTAAAATAAAAATAAATAAGTTTTTAACCAGATTGTATGCATATAGACATGTGTTATTTATACCACGAGCGTTTTTCTAATATAATATTTTTTAAATATTGCAAATTACAGTATTGCAATACATCCAGATGTATTTACTTGACACCTCATCATCCTGATTCATTTTGTATCTGAGATATTTGCAGCCAATAGTTACTGAACTAAATTGGGTGCGGAGTATTACTTGCTATTAAATGCTCTTTACTTCAATGTAATATATGATGTTGTCGTATGCACAAATAAACCCATAACAGTTAGCAAATTAAGTCAGTAATTATACCCACTTAGATGCTTTCTTTTTTTGTTACAGATGATTACTTTTTTAATAAAACTTGCTGTGTGAGAGGCAGCCTTGAGTGGTTGTTAGTTACTGCCATCTATTCTCTGTGGAAATATTTTGGCCACTGAAGCGAGCACTCTCCCAGTGGCTCTGAATGCAATCATACATTATTTCTAGTATAGCCAAGTTGCCAGGAAGCAAATGCAATTCTATCTAGTGGGCCGTCAATAACTGTGCTCAACCTAGAAAACGCATCATAACTAACCCCATGGCACCTACATCTCCCCTGTTGTACCATTTACTTTGAATTGAGTGTGGTTATGATATACAACCTCAGGCTCTTTAGTCAGGGGGACCAAGTGTTTCCAACTGTGACAGTCAGTATTACAGTGGTTTGTCTCGTGGATTGCTTGGCAAGGAATATCTAAATAGAAATAGTAAAATATTCAAACTGCTGAAGTAAAAAACACTTCTAAGATTCTGAGAGGGTTTTCAGCATCTATTTAGTGACATCAACATGGGACTGTTACAGCATTAGAAATTATAATTTTCTATGTTTTTATTTGGTACTGTAGATGTCGGATAACTCCATTTGTAGACTGGAGTGTATTGAATAATGTATGGAGTTCAATGTATTGATCTGGTGCAAATGGCATGTTTTACTGAACTGAAGGGGTGTTTCTATGGCCAGAGATAATTCAAAACTCTTATTATAACAAACACGTGTGGAGGGCAGAAGAAGAATAGTAAGAATGCTTAACTGCATTGATTTTGTCTCCGTTTAAAGAAAATGCAGTCTTCTGAAGAAAACAAACACTGTTAAGAATTTAACACGGTTTTCAGGATCTATTTAGTCAAATTGTTTACATGCTTTAATGTTAAAAAGGTCTTTATTTTTTCTCATGCTGCCTGTGCTGCAGCACCTCTTTTCACCCTCTGTCTTAAACCAGAGCCCAGTCTGCTCTGAATCGTTAGCTTGTCCGGCTGTTTTGATTGACATGTGTCCGAAACCTCCCGCCCCTTTGTCTATCATGAACAATGTGTTGAAGCGCTAGCCGATAGAAGTTACACAGTGATGTCATTATGTTACCAAGGTAAATAAAGGAGACCAATGGAGGCGTTTCAGGCAGGGGGGGAGTGTGTGGGAGAGAAACTCCCCCTGGAAGGAACTTTGGGAAAATGTACATGAAAAAAATCTACATAACACTTTAGAGGAAAGGAAAATCATCAACAAGCATAATAGGGCCTCTTTAATGATATCTGCTTCAGGGATAAAAGGACCTGTGTCCGGTCCAATTTATCCCATTAAAAATCTATAATGGTAATGAGTGCTGTTTAAAACTCATAATACAACTCCCAGGTAACAAGAGTGTTGAACAATAACATGTTGTTGAATTAGCATTGTATTAAAGCTTTCAATTGCTCGAGGTGTACCTGTGAACATTTATATTATATATAAAGCCTACAATCTTATTGAATCACATTAGCATGCATAGAGTATTCTGCAATTTCTTGGATAACGTTTCTTACTGTATGTATTCATGTGTGTCTGCCCATGTGTGTGTGGCCATGCTCATGCCTACATGTGTGAATGCAGGCGTGCGTGCTTATCCACCTGTATGTGTGTGTACTTTCCTCGGCCCAGCTCGGGAGATAACGGCCGTGGAGGAGCCGGCAACCGTCGCCGAGGAGACAGATATCGATGCGGAAGAGCCGGCACACGTGCCGTCAGCGGAGGAGTTAAACCCCAATAGAGGGGTGACCGATTTAGACGCCACAGCAAAGACGCCTGACGTTAACCCAGTGGAGACGAAGGTAAATCCTCCAGAGTTGGAACAATATATTTGTGTATCTGTACACAGCTTTTTTCAAACCTCCTAGGGATTTCTCTCCATGTGTGGCAGCAACATGGAACTGCAGTGGCTATTCAGTTACAAAACCAGAAAGCTAAACTTGCTAGTTCAAGAACGTATTTCAGGTCAGTTTAAAAATGTTTTAAGATGTTTTTTAATTTGGCAATTATTTTTGTATATGTTTGACTTCATATCAGTGTCAGCTTTACTGGTCCTTTATTTGAGGATAAAGGGCAACATTTGGTCAAATTTCACATTTAATGGAATATTTAAACTTAGGAATGCACATTCTTGTAAAAGCAAGATGGCATACATTGAGAATGACTATAACTCAAGGTCTGCTAGCTGGTAAATCACAATGGTTGCCACCAGTTTGGAGGCAAGATTGTGAGCGTTGGTTACTGTACCTTTTAAGGAGGCTGTCATTTCTAAACGCCAGAAGCATTCGTCACAATACAGAGTTTTTCTAATACGCAGATTATAAAACACTCAGTCAAAGGGCAACATTGATCGTCTTCCTTCATTAACACTTTATTTTATGTACTAATATCTGACTTTCTTGCATCTTCCAAACATGCTCCATATTGTTTTCAATCCTGCTTTCAACATGTTAACTCCAGTTTGAAGCTCAGCTAAAAACACACATATTTACCTAGACAGGCTTTTGACTAATTTGTATAAACAAGACATACTGTAGTTGTTTAAGGTGATTCACTGCTTTTAAAGAGCTATTTTAATGTTTTATGGCTGACTTTCCTGCAGCCCAGTTGGCAGTCAACTTCACCAAACAAGGGAGAAGAACATAAGAAAGAAAGTGCATTGGTGGCCCAGAGCTTGAGGAAAGAAAGGTCCACAAAGAGAAAGTAAAATATAGTCTGTTCACGTTGAGGCTTGAAAACCTGGGAGGAAATTAAACATCCATCCTGTCGCTCCAGGTCAGGCTGACCCCTGAGTGTAACAAAAGATATCCAAAGTTTACACAAGCTTTCAGATATTCTAGTTTTATTTCTTTAAGGCTGTCTAATTCACAAGATATCCTGGAGTACTGAAACTATCTTTACCGTGATTTGAATAAACGTGCCTGTATTAACCACCAGTAAAATCAAGTTAACACCAAGCCTGTGTAAGTGTTAGAAATAGCCTCCACTACTGGTTTTCTATTTGGAAGCTGTCAGCAGTATGTTGAGCTCCAACGCTAATATGCTAGTCATGCAGTTTACGTGTTTGTGCGTTGTCATAGTGTTATAGATTTTATACTGCTCACTAAAAGTATCTGCTCGTCGTCCTGTCAAAACATGTCACTAGTAGTATTCTATATATAACCAGGGAAATGTTTCAGTCTGGAGGAGCAGCTGTTTGGCTCGGCTTTCATAGCAGCGTAGTAGCTGTTGTTGGGATTTACAGTAGTATTCACGAGTGTAATTGTATTTTTGATTGATGCTACTGTGGGGGGATGAGGGCAGAGAGTGGGCGTAGCATGATGTTTATTACACTACTTTTTGCCTTGATAACTTTGGGCTCTGCATCAAGTTGGCAACATTGGTGTATGATAATACTTTTACTAGTTTGTGTTTTTTCTCCTGGCAACTCCAAGGAAAGATCATGATATTGTTTCAATATTGGGAACATTAACTGATAAACAAAGTGCTTGATGGAATGTCTTAAAGCATTTGGAAACCGCTTTTTACCAGCATATCGGGATGCCAGCACGCAGCACCCAAACATTCCTTCAACTTCTGAAATACACAGTGCAAACCATTTTATACAGCCATGCACCTGTTGTGCGTATTTGCAACAGTAAGCACAGTTTGAGTTTCTCTTAAAGTTCCAATCCCAATGGGGTTTCGACTACTTGGCTGCACTGTGGTGATAACGGCAAATTGTAGGTTTGATTTGGGATATCACTTCCCAGGGATCCCAACACTGTGCACTGATTGTGATTCTTTCTGGCACGTCACCAAAGACACCAACTTCATAACACTGACTATGCCAAGCCATACCCACATTAATCATAGTTTTACCTAATTCTACAGAAGTGAGTTAGATTATGATTATAACATGAAGCGCTCCACAATATTCAGAATGAATCAGTACAAGAATGCTATATTTCATCGTTTTAATAGTAATTCAATTTTCAAGTTTAATGTATAACGTTGAGACTGAACTGAATTATTGGAAATATATCTGGGCTGCCACCGTTGGCAGTTTGTCTAGCCTTTGAGTAAAAGGCTATCATTTATGCATTTAGAAATGGCTGACATGTTCAATTACATACAGTTGCAAGAAAAAGTACGTGAACCCTTTGGAATTACCTGGATTTCTGCATAAGTTGGTCATAAAATGTGTTCTGATCTTCATCTAAGTCACAACAATAGACAAACACAGTCTGCTTAAACTAATACCACACAAACAATTATATGTTTTCATGTTTTTATTGAACACACCATGTAAACATTCACAGTGCAGGGTGGAAAAAGTATGTGAACCCCTAGGCTAAAGACTTCTTCAAGAGCTAATTGGAGTCAGGAGTCAGCCAACCTGGAGTCCAATCAATGAGACGAGATTGGAGGTGTTGGTTAAAGCTGCCCTGCCCTATAAAAAATACACACCAGTTTTGAATTTGCTATTCTTAAGAAGCATTGCCAGATGTGAACCATGCCTCGCACAAAAGAGCTCTCAGAAGACCTACGATTCAGAATTGTTGACTTGCATAAAGCTGGAAAGGGTTACAACAGTATCTCTAAAAGCCTTGATGTTCATCAGTCCACGGTAAGACAAATGGTCTATAAATGGAGAAAGTTCAGCACTGTTGCTACTCTCCCTAGGAGTGGCCGTCCTGTAAAGATGACTGCAAGAGCACAGCGCAGAATGCTCAATGAGGTGAAGAAGAATCCTAGAGTGTCAGCTAGAGACTTAAAGAAATCTCTGGCACATGCTAACATCTCTGTTGACGAATCTACGATACGTAAAACACTGAACAAGAATGGAGTTCATGGGAGGACACCACGGAGGAAGCCACTGCTGTCCAGAAAAAAACATTGCTGCACGTTTGAAGTTTGCAAAAGAGCACCTGGATGTTCCACAGCACTACTGGCAACATATTCTGTGGACAGATGAAACCAAAGTTGAGTTGTTTGGAAGGAACACACAACGCTATGTGTGGAGAATCCAAAGGGTTCACATACTTTTTCTTGCAACTGTAGTTAGTTTGAAACCAGCACAAGTCGCAAAACTACTGCACCAAAGTCCTGCTCTTCCTACAGCAAACATGTTTCTTTCCCAATACATCCTTGTAGATCATTATCTGACATCACACGTTTTTAGCATTTATGGGCTACACTGTAAATTGTATCGAGGTAATATTTATTTCATTTGAATTATTATATTGTGACTTGATTGATATTGATATATAACTAGCATGACACTGAAAGCGCAGACCTCCGCCTATGCCGCCTTCATGTTGGCAGAGGTATTGAAATTCAATAAAAACAGATGCCATGTCAGATGGGTTTACTCCTCAAGGCAGCTGCTTTCTTATCATAATAAGGTAAAACACCCACCACAAATCCTCTCTGCCTACTTTTAAGAGAGAAAACTGCCTGCCAAGTTTCCAATTTTTGGGACAAAGTTGCAGCGTTTTAGCCAAGCAATTATCCCGGGGGGCATATCTGCCAGCATGACCAACAAAATGTCTTGTTCTGTTTCTGCTTTACTCAGCCAGTTACAGAGCAGCCTCATTAAGCTCTCTGCTGGTCAGATGCACACACAAATGTTTGGGTGATTGCGTAGTTACTAAGGCAGTCTCAATTAATGGTAAATATGTAACGGGCAGGCAATAGTGCAGAGTTTTTTATCCCACTTGAGAAATGTTGTCACCTTAGGCCCCAAGCCACTTGAAACCTGTTAATTTTTCACTTGGCAACTCACCAGAGCAAGATTTTGAGCACCATTTTGGGTCCTACTGTAAGTCAGTAACAAAGCCAAATTATTCAGCTGTTTAACAGGCTGTGGTTCCCATTAACGTGAGAGTTATAAAACCTTTCATTGCAGCCCATGATTGAAAGCAACATGGCATGAAATCACTGAAACAACGAGATCTCAGCATTGACCCCTACTCTCAGGTCATTGGAGGAAGTGTGTGTCTAGTTGCTTTCCCACGTACACGATGTATTTTATTTGAGTCTTTTTTAATCTGACACATTAATCACTCTTAACAGTTTGACAGATTGTGCAGGGATAAGTGGGTGGAATAAAATGCGTGTGCCTTTGCGTTAGAACCCATTTGTGTATTTATTACACGAGAGTGTGTGTATTCTACGGAGCAGAGGGATTTGATTCACGACAGGGTTTCCCTGGAAGCTCAGGCAGGGAAAGCAGCCTGCGAGTGTTAAAGTTCATTCTCCTCTTGTCAGCTCCCGTTAAACTGACAAATCCCTCTGCAGCCTGCGTTCAAACGCTCCCGCAGGACTCGCCGAGCGCACATCAATCCTACCTTGGGCTTTATGTCCATGTGGTTGGGTCAGGTCGTTCTGAAGGGGCTGGCCTCCAGGATTAGAGGGAGTGTCAAATTGGAGAGTCGAAAGTCATAATTTTACGCATTTCAAGTGGTTTCTCTTTTTTGTTTTAAGTATAAGGTTTCTTTGTATGTGAATGAAATATGTGTGTGATTGTGTGTGTGTGCGCTCATGTGTCCTTTGAAGTGAGGCAGTACAACAAACGCTTTGATAGAGGTTTAGCCTCTGGCCCACTTTCAGATGCTGTCAGGTGTAAACACTCTGATCCATGAGAGTTCCAGGCAGCGCTCCACTCACAGATCACTCTCTTACTCTTTTATCTCTTGTCCCACCATTGGTGTGATTCAGTTGTTTTGCGAATGAGCGCCACCTAACAAGGAGGAATCAATGAGCTGGCTTACCAGTTTTCTTGAGTCACAAAGCTCATTTTAAAGTCCTAAACACATGT